AGTAACAATGAATTACATTTCTCATTATGATACTGCCTTGAATGTGTATGAATGTAGGTTATCTGCTATAAAAAGTCTGTTACTTTATGAAAAATAATTGTATAGTTTGCATCAAACAAAAATGAAGCATTGCAATAAGAAATATTGATTTTGTACTGCTGTTTATATATGCATGTCAATTTAATAAATAATATTTCTGCTACAAAACAAACAAAAGATTATAATAAATCATTCAATTCAATGATGAAAGCTGCAAAGCAGTCATCAGTAAATAAATAAAAAAATAATATACACCTCAAAAAAGAATAGACAAAAGAAAGAAAGTAAAGTCTCACTTCTATCACTCTTTAAAAGTTTTGGTTTCAGTTTGTGTCAATTTAAAGGTTCAGTCTTTTGTCTTCTCATGTTTGTGGAACACCAGGCGAGTCAGCCGACCCAATTTATGAGCAGGCAGCGCAAGATTCTTGCGAATACCACCGGCGCAATACCGCTGTTTGTTATGAGACGCAGTTTCAGTGTAAACTTAGTAAAGGCGAGCTTCTTTGGCGATGATATGTACAGTATTAGATTTGACTTTTAGCGGACATTTGCGCTGAACACGCAGTGAATGCGACGCATGGAGATTCGGGCGCCTTCTCCATGAAGCGCGTACTCGATTGATCTCAGCTGGCGGATCATTATTCAGCACGTGACGTGTCATGATCGCTCTCATCTGCACCTCAATTTTAGGTGGGGTTTGCAAACCTGTGTGCTTTAAGTTTTTACTCTTCAGCCGTTTGCATTTCCCGTGGTCATAAAAGCTCCTTCCCTGTCATCTGACAGCGGAATAGCTTGAGTGATTGACAGCTAATATGAACCAATATAGCGGCAGGGAAGAGCGATTCAGCACGTTTTTACAAAAAATCAAAACAGGTTGCACTACAACCATTATCAGCAGTCGCACTAGTGCTCCCAGATATATTATGAGGTCGCATAGATTAATTTTCGGGCGCATATGCGACCAAAATGGTCGCAATTTCGAGCCCTGATGCTGAATCACTATGTGTTGGTTTTGTGTCACAGTTCTAAAATTGAATTTCAAACTATTTATTTTATTTTCAAAATATTTCTGAGGAAAAACTGCTGCTTTCAGTATTATGGCAATAAATGTCAGGTAAAATAGCATTCAATCTCACATTTTTAGCATTTAACACTGACTAAAGTTATATAAAGTAATGTTTCAATTTGAAGTGTTAGTTAGGACAAAAATATTCTTTCTATCGCTTGCCGTTGCTTTAATTTAGAAAACGGATTAAATGAGCCTTTAGGTTTGAGACTCACTGCTGTTGGTAATCTGGCAACCTGCACTTGTGTTTGTTATGGTCCAAGAATGCAATACCTAGTTCAGGCACTTGGTGTCAAATTTGCACACTGCAGCTTTAAATCATATATTGTGCAGTTTGCCTTACAGCCATTTTAAATGGTTCTCTGCTGTGCAAATTTTGTCCAAAAAAAAAGAAATGGAGTGATTGTTTATCAGTCTGCAAGGGCTCTGTGATGTAGTGGAATCATGCTGCACTAATGCCGGATGGTATTACCCTGATTCATTGCTCTCATTTCCTGCCCTCTCTTTTCTATGGAACGTGAGCTGTGATCAGTGTAAGGGCTCTGTAATGGATTTTAAACGTCGGCTCTCTGGCGCTCCTGTGTGGACAGGCAGGTATCTGGACAAGGGCCTGAGCTGTAAATAAAGGCGCCGAATCTCACTGATGGAATCTAAACTGTACAGAGCAAAAAGGCGCTCAGACGGCCTAAACAGATGTCGCTCCCTGGAATGCGCAGGGACTGGACAGTTACGTTCCATCCTTCACCGGATCCCACATTCCATTCCTCCTCCCTCCACCGAGTGTGTATGAGTCTATGTGTGCGACTGAGTGGATAAGAAATATTTATGTCTCTTTTCTTCGCCTGCGAGTGTGTTTGAGAGATTCCACTTCTACACCACTGTAGTAACAGACGGTGACCCTGCCTGGAGTTCAACTTTTTGACAGTTGCAAACGAAATGACTGAAAAAAGCACAGTTTGTTCGTCACTGGTCCTGACTCTGGTTCGTAACACAGCCAGGCTTCACCACATCACAAACGACTCTAGAGAAGCGGATCCAGAAAAATAGCATCTTTGGCTCTCTCTCTGTCCGGGTCGGTCCAGGCTCATAGTGCTTTACTTTCGCTTCACTATGACAACTAGCTTTTGGAGGAGTCATTTGTCTTCTCTTGATAAATATTTAGTCCCCTTGGTAGCAATGGATTTCTTATTCGCTGCCGTGTGCTGTTATGTAATATTTCGCAGGACAAATTCCAGTCTAAACGTGCTGGTAGCTTCTGCATGGCTCCTGAGCATGATGTTGTCCTGGTAACACCGCTTCAGTGAGAATGACAAGGTTGAACAGATATTTCACAACCAACACAACACACAGCTGTTTAAAACATGTTGAAAGGCAATCTTTTTTTATTTTTTGTGACTCCTCTTTGTTCTACACACTTTTGAGTGAATTTTTTTACTTAATTTTTACTTTTAAACTAATTGTGTTTTAAAAAATGTATTTATTTGTTATTTTACCTAAGTTTTTAGTATCGTTGTTTTATAGTTGTTGATGATGATTACTACTACTACTACTACTACTACTACTACTACTACTACTACTACTACTACTACTACTACTTCTAGTACTACTCTCCCTATTACTAGTAATATTAATCATACATTTATATATACATACATACATACATACAAACGTGCATACATACATTCTATGGGTGTCGAAATTAATTGTTTCTTTGGTGCACCGCTATGCAGATGCGGACAATTCAGTATCGGTTCAGTAACAGACCCTAACCAGTTATTTTTACAGATGTCATTTAATGTGCCATGTTACGATAAAACACTATGGCGAGGAAGGTGAGTGCGAGTAATTAAAATGCAGAAACTGCACAATTCACTGTGTGTTTGCTGAGCAGTCATTCACTGACACTGAAGTTAGCACAAGCCCTTATTTCACCCCCATGAAGAAAATGAAAGTAAACTCAATTTCTCTCTCTCTCACTGTGGACCTTTGACCTGTTAGCGTGATGTTTTCTTTCCTCTCGGTTGTTACAGCAATACTTGCGGATCCAGACCCGAGTGTGTCTGCAGAGCGAGATTTCTCCACCGTGTTTATTATGAATCAGCTGAGATCGTCACATATGTATATCAGTGTCACTTATCGGTGAATAGCCCCAGCGTGTTAGAGCTAATCACAGCCCTTTCTGTTGAGCACGTGACCAATCATAGGTGTTTGGGAACCCCCTGGACAATGCTCAAAAAACAAGTGGGATAAAATTTACGTCTGTTTATTTGTTTTAAGTGCTCTTGTTGTTCAGTGCATGTAATTTAGTTTTGTTTGATGCAGGGTGTTTTCTTTGAGCAGGTACAATTAAAGGTACAGTACTGCCTGTATTAAAGGACAAGATTGTATTACAAATACATATAAAATGCATTTAAAATTAAACATGTTAATTCTTGTTTTGGGTTAGGGTTATTAAAAAAAATTGTATATGGAAAGCATATCAATGCACTGAGATATTGAATTGAACTGATTCAATGTCATGACAATCGTAACTGAACTGTGAGACCAGCATAGGTTCACACCACTGATACATACATACATACATACATACATACATACATACATACATACATACATACATACATATATATATATATTAATAATACATTAATACACACATATTAATAATACATACATACCGGTTATATTACATAGAGAAATAATGTAGAATTTTTATTTCTGCAAATTATTTCTGTGTGAGCCTAACCTGAAAAGAATAATTAACCTTTTGTTCTTGTTGATAATAATAATTAGTTAAATTATTAGTTTATAAAATTTTATGCAGTTACAATTCACCTTCTTTAGTCTTGTTCAGCAATGAACAATTGCATTTTTATGGTTTATCTAAAAAAAAAAAAAAAAAAAACTATTATATATCTTTTAAAGGCTCTAAATTTTTTGTTAGGCTGCATTAATTGGGGCAACCGAAACCAGGAACAGCTCTCGAAAGACGTTATAATTTGAACGGCATCTACGCTGTTTTTCCTTATCCTGAGCTCTCCATAGTCTTGGGCCAGGCTGTATCCTGAGCAGATGCTGTGGTGGTCATGGAGCAGAGCATGAGACTGATTCCTGAAAGACCCCAGTGACAGACGAGTCTCTGCATTGATCCTGTGGGCAGCATGATCACCCGCCGGTGACCTACTTGTACCTGTAGTTCTCCACGATGGACGTCCAGCATTCTCCAGCTTCCAGCCCCTAGACTACAGCTCTGCACAAGAAGTTTGGCCAGAGGAGAAATGGTCGTGCCCAATTGAGCCTGGTTTCTCTCGAGGATTTTTTTCCCTTCACTTTTGTCAATTGGTGAAGTTTGTTCCTCGCTACTGTCACCACTGGCTTGCTTGGTTTTAGGACTTGTGGAGCTGCACAAGCTGCTCTTCAGTGTTCGGACTTTCAGCAGCAATAATTAAACCACACTGAAATTAACTAAACTGAAATTCTGCTCTGAAAACTGGACTGACAGTTTCAGTTCAGTAGAACTTCTATGTTAAGCTGCTTTGACACAATCTACATTGTAAAAGCGCTACAGAAATAAAGATAAAATATGAATTCAAATGATACCAGAGTGAATAAATGACTTTTTAATTATTGTGAGCAATTCTTTTGGCCGTTGTTGAACTTCATCGAAAAACCATCTGACTTAAGTGATGTGGAAAGTCATTTCAAAAGGAGAACAAGTTGTCAGAATATGTTTAAGGAGTACATTAAATAGACACTGGTTGTTCTCCAAGAAAAAAACTAATAGTTCACAATAATACCAGGAACATGCATTAGTAGATTAAACGAGGTCAGTTTAGATTTCCCATTGACTTGAAGTAATTGCTCTGTTTCCTGTTTTTCTTTTTCTACCTATTAGATTCATGAGAAGCTGCAGTGTTATGAAGACTGTGCACCGACTCCAGTACTGGACAGCGCCGGCTCACTGGCTGCAGACGTGAGTCAACCACATGCACACACTTCCTGTCAAAAGCTGAAACACTTTTATGCTCGTAAACTTTACACACTTGCGGATGGCTAAACGCACACACGCACAAAGTGTGCCTGTGAAAACGCATACACAGACGGCTCCCAGCATGTCTAGCTTAAGACTGACTCCAGGAGGAACTTGTCATTAAAAGAACGAGAAAAGATAGATGGATGTCTGGGGCAGAGAACACAAGTAGATGGGCTGCAGATGAGAGTGCGAGATGAGGCATGGAGTGTGTGTGTGTGTGTGTGTGTGTGTCTGTATAAGACATTAGTCATCAGTATTATAAAACACTCAACGTTTAAACTCTCAACGGCTTGCATAATGTAAACTGACTACTATATCAACATGGCCACATAGACACACACACACAGACACACACACACAAACCTATGTAAACTTAGAGGAGTTTACTCTGGATATGATCACAGAGGAAAGACAGAAGGAAAGAACACAAAGGCGATTCAGTGAAGAGCATCTCAGGTCAGCGCTGACATTAAGATGGACAAACACACTTTGAGTACCCAAAAGCATAGAAAGATGCTTCATCTGTTCAAACAAAGTGCTGCTTTGTGCTCAAATCTACACTCTCCACAAACCAAAGAGGAGCTAATCAGCTTTAATACACATCCGTTTCCTGATCACCAATGGCTCAGTGGGCGGCAGCAACCGGCCATCTTGTGTTTTCACAAATCTCCACTTCCGTTAGGGAACTTTAATATGAAGCTCAGATCCGCCCCTCAGATTTACACTTTCCTTCAGTGTCCCTACAGGTCCCACACACGAATAATCTGATATCTGTGTGTGTGTGTGTGAGGATGCGGTCCATCAAAGGGTCGAACAGCCAAAGCAACCAAATTACTCTGAGCCCCCTCCTGTGTTTTTTCAGACGTATCGTTTTCATCCATTGCTGTGAGGAATATACTGCGTGCTGCTGTTTTGAACGGTGTAGTGGGTTTGCCGCCACCGCTCATTCGAGTGTTAAGTTTCGCTAATGGAGCTTTAATTTATAGTGTAGCATAAAACGCCATTTTAACCTCCGCCTGGCCCAAGATGCTGTCTAAGACTAACACAGCAGGCAAGCTCCTTACACACACACACACACACACACACACACACCTCCACACGCACATAATCTAAATGGCAGTATATTCCAAAGCAGCAGGTGTGCAGTTCTCAATCTGGCCACATGAAGGCAGTAGAGAGCGTCACTTCCACTAACAAGTCTGTGCCTGAGTAAAAACAATTGCCAGATTACAGTCCTCATTATGTCCCGGGTGTCTTCCATTAGACTGTGGAAAAACGGAGTGCTCCAGAGCCTGCTGGATGATACTCCTCTCGGCTCATACCTCTCTGATGCACAAGTCTGTTCTTCTGGAGACGTCAGTCAGACAAATGCATAACAACTATGTCAGATTACACCGCAGGAGCAAAATGATATCCCTGATTGATTAATAGAAACCGCTTGTAGAGTTATTTTAGATGCTCGTTCCATTGCCAGGCACAATACAGATGTCACAAGCCAGATGTACTGTGATTTTTGCTGTCTAAAAGTCAAATCGCAGATCCTAATTTAGTTTCCTAAATTCTAATAGTTTTTTTTTTTGTAAGACCAAAGAAAAAAAAGAGGCTGCATAAAATGATGTCTTTACTGATTTAGTTTTTGGGCTACATTATTAATTTTGAAAGAGATACAATTTCTAGGCTGATGAACTTATGCAATCCACAAATGTCAGTAAATAGTGTAGTTTTTTTCTGAAAGTGTCTAGTGTTCGGGTACAATCAGGATGCATTCCTACTCAGTAGTTCTGTTCTCATGGTGGTTTTGATACGAACCAAAAAAAAAAAAAAAAGCCTAATTCATAGTTCACCTAAAATTCACATAATATCAGTTTTAAGACTGGACCTAAAAATACAAAATCATTTGTGGACTTTTTTAGGATCACATCCAGCACATAGTCAATCACGTTTGTTAGATATCATCTGTCAAGCCAATGTCTGAAAGTGGTGGAGACCTATCATTTCACCAGGTGTGCTCATTGACCTGTAATTGTTATAACTTTTATAACAATTAGTCTAATAACTATTTGCAAAATATTCCTTTTTGAGTTGCATTCTAAAGTTTTTGCAAAACTCCAGTGTTTCCATTATTTCATTGCACTTTCACTTTGAGCAATTCGAATGTTGTGATAGTAATTTAAAAAACTTTAATGCTTTATGGTTTAATTGTGTTTGTGTGTGTGTTTGTGTGTGTGTTAGTGTGTGTGTTAGTGTGTTTATGTGCCTTGTTTTTGTAATCAGTTGCATTTTTTTTAAGCAGCTGAAATATGCTTTTATAAAACATCAAGCTAGGGCTGCACAAATTTCATTTCAGTATCAAAATCACCTTGTGCGTATTAATATTCATACTGCAGGACGTGCAACATCGAGTCTTATTGAAAAATTGAGATTATAGTAGGCTATAGCAGCATCACAGTATAGAAAACATATGTCAAACTCAGTTCCTGCAGGGTTGCAGCTCTGCACAGTTTAGTTCCAAACCTAATTAAAAGTGCAGTAGGTGATCTGCCTAAATGCTAACTGGTTAGCATAATATCTTTCAAATACAATTCCTCCCCTGCTGTCCAAATCCACGCCTCCTGAAATCGTGAATGCGCTAATTAAAGATGACAGAGACCCACTAGATCATGTCATTCGCCAGTTAGAAAACTTTATAGTACTTTATAATACTACAGTTCTGAATGAAAAACTGAGTAGCATTGTAAACAATATAGGGAGCGTGTCACAGGTTGTCATTGTTTAAAAATGAACCAATGTGATGTAAATATAAAACCAACTTCAGCTCAGTAAAGCAGGCTAGGTGGAGTAGCGCTATATACTTATGTTTAGTTGTTAAGCTCAATAAAAATCTACATTATTGATGATGTAAAAGGACCTTATGAAACTGAAAATAGTTGCATCAAACTTTTGCCGGAAGATTTCAGTGGCTGAACAACACTTCTGTGCGTATAGCCCACTCCTAACAACACAATCTACATGAGCTTAGAGTGACTAAAATGCTTTCGAAACATAACATTACCTGTCTATAAGAAATACTTTAGCCACGGAGTCATCATTTGTACAGTTGTGTTAATAAGATGCAAAGCAATGTGTGCTCATGTTTCTCTTAAAGGAAATCATGTTATTTTTTTAAATTAATCTCACTTTGATTATACACAGCTACTCAGCTAACATGAAAACGACTGATATGTTTCCTAGTTCCTCTGAAAGGCCGCCCTTAAGTGACTGATTGGTCTTGTGTCATAATGTGTTGTGATTCGCGGATCGACTCCACGTCATGCTCGTACAAGCACGCAAGTTTTGTGCAAACAGTCAGTCAACCTCATGATCCCTCACTAAAATAACATCTGACAAGTGTCTGTAACGAGTGAAAATGGGGTGCGGCTCCTTTAAGAGAGAGTGTGTGTGTGCCATTATGTGTGTATTTATGTGTGTGCGTGTGTATACTATAGACTACCTGTAATACGAGAAGAGCATGTGCGCGGGAGCGATGTTTCTTTTTCTTTTTCTCTGATTCTCGGAGTAAGTTATTTTCTGTAGTGACGCTGCTGACAGAAAAATAAAGCACAAGATGTGGGATGCAACATGTGTGAGCCTTGATTGATTTTTTTGCTGCTACACGAGTTAAGTAAGCTATCCTGTACTTTTTTTTAAACTTAATGCTTACGTTGCATAACGTCTTTCACACATATCCGGTATATTCTGGTGTAAGTAACATAAATCGTTCACATATCTTTTGCGACTTCATTGTCTGAGATATAAAACGGATGGAAAAGCTGTCTATAGAGAAACAATGCAAAGTTGCGCGCACACAGAGAGAGAGGCTGCACATGCCGATGAAGAGTGTGTGTGTGTGTGTGTGTGTGTGTGGTGTGTGTGTGTGTGTGTGTGTGTGTGTTGACAGCAGTTTGACTGGTAAATATGAATTCGTAGCTAAATTGTTAGCGGTGGCGAACATCATTTCTCGTTGTTTACATCTTTGCTACAACATGAGGGTAGACACTATACATGTCATGATCAATTTTAACAAATAAAAAAACTTACAGGTCGTGGCTCAGAGTTCACAGCGTCTCCTTGGAGCTGCTCCATCTTTGAGGAGATTTTAACTGAATCCAGCACTGAACTGGGAGAGATTCTGGAAGCTGTTTTGTCAAATTTTGCTTGCTGTGTATTTTATAATTCTCTGGAACATAATTAATGATGAACTGTAAGCATTTCTGTCTTTGTGCCGTGTCCTTTGGAAGCCCAAACACAGAAACAGAGAAGCTCTGTGAAAATAGCAGGATGGCATTTTCTCTCTCTGCTGTAACATTACAGCGCCTCTGGCCACAGCCCTTAGTTGTGCAGTGTGTGTGCGCTTTAATAGTACGTTTGTGATCTCACAAGGCCCGGAAATATTTTTTTGAAAATAGTCCCCAAAATTTGTTCATTGTAGGCTTTGCTAAGCTAACTCTGTAAAAACCAAGGTGTCCCTTTGTTTTGAACTTTGAGCATTTTACATTAAGAGATGCTGTTTATGTTCACACAGCTACATTACACATCAACTAAAGTTTAAAATATGATATCGTAGTGGACCATCCCTTTAAACTATTTAAAGAAATTATAATTTTTTAATAAATTTAAAAAAAGATTAATGGATTTTAATTCTCATCTGATTAAATCATCTGATTAAACTACACAACTACTTTTAATTAGATTATTTATTTTTTGTATCTAAAAAACTGTTAGACTCACCAGAAAACCATAAATCTCTGTTTATATAATTTGTGTCTTTACTCTGTTTTTATTTATTATTATATTTTATCTACACTTGTAGTTTTTTTATATATATATTATGTAGATGCTCTCTACAAAATCATCCTAATCAATCTAAAATTTTAAATAATTTCTTAAAAGACATTTTTAAGTCATCTTGTGAAAATATTGCAAAAAATAGGCCTACATCATAGCATTGCACACACACACACACACACACACACACACACACACACGCATTTGATTAGTACACATTCACATGTGTTGCATACATCCTACAATTTATTTAGGACTACTGGATGCGTATTTTGCAATTTTTGTGAATGATATTATAATGTGTAACTTTATACAATACTTCTGGGCCACTTTACAATGTACATCTACAATAACATAGCCATGAAAGATTGATTACTGATATTTTTCTTCTCTTCATCCATGGATGACCTCTGCTTGATGGCATGTGTCTATTGTGCATAAGATGGAGTTTGTGTGTGTGTGTGTGTGTGTGTGTGTGTGTGTGTGTGTGTGTGTGTGTGTGTGTGTGTGTGTGTGTGTGTGTGTGTGTGTATATGTGTGTGTGTGTGTGTGTGTCACTAAGGGTCACTATAATCATTACTCAATTGAACGTCACCTCCCATTTGGCTGGTTACTGGATAAGTCTACAGACATCCTAAGGGAGTGATTCTTTAAACACCGATTACAGTATTTCAGCAGACTCACAGACACGTCCAGAGTGTGTAGGGTCAATAATAAGGTTGTGACCCAGGAGTAACACTTCAAATGGATCTGGGGAGCAAGCCCATCTCTCTTCTAGCTTAGAGAATCAGCAACGTGTCTCTGTGCCTCATTTATTCTGCGTCTGCACTGCTATAAATCCCTCAATCTTTTAAACAAACACACACACACCTGCTACCTGCCTCACGGGAGACATACTGCAATTATTTTGAATATATGTGTGTGCATGTCTTTGTAACCAATGCATGTGTTCATGGATGTTATAGATGGTCATTTTGTTTCTGTTTCTCTTACTCTTACTCTCTGTCTCATCAGTTGACGGAGGAACTGCAGGCAAGAAGCGCAAGTAATGAGATCAGAGAGCTTGTCAAGCTACTGTCCAAACCACATGTAAAGGTAAGAGGAGTAAACTAATAATAACATTAGTTACTACTGTTACTATTTTTAATTGCTATTATTACTAGATCGTTATTTTATCATTAAACTAATTATTTACACTTTTTAATTGGTACATAAGCATTTATTCAAGGTATAGCATTTATTTAAGGTTGCTGATTCGAGCTTCGGCTGGATCAGTTGGCATTTCTGTTTGGAGTTTGCATGTTTTCCCTGCGTTCGCATGGGTTTCCTCCGTGTGCTCCAGTTTCCCTCGCAGGCCAAATACATGTGGTACAGGTAAATTGGGTAGGCTAAATTGTCCATAGTGTATGAGTGTAAATAAGTGGGTGTGGATGTTTCCCAGAGATGGGTTGCAGCTGGAAGGGCATCTGCTGCGTAAAAATGTGCTGGATAAGTTGGCGGTTCATTCTAAAGGGACTAAGCCAAAAAGAAAATGAATTAATGAATGAATAAAAGTGAATCATAGTTTTCAGGTATTCACTATTCAGGTACAGATATTAAATAATCAACGCTGCATAGTCTTCATTGTATATTAATTATTCTTTAAAAAATTTCTTGCGCGGGATGTTTTGAAATTTGAAATATTGAAATGTTCACACAGTCACAGGCCATAAAGGGAAAGTTTACTCAAAGATTAAAATGTACTATTTGCTCACACGTCTCTTGTTTCAATACAATAAGAGTTATTCAATTATAATCTTTATGTTCATTTAAAAAAAAAAAAAAGAAAACTCATAAATGTTTGAAACAAGTGAAGCGTGTAATAAAAATGGTGAGTAATTTTTGGGTGAACTATCTCTTTAAAAATGTATGCAGATGATGAACTTTTACTCCATTATGATTAAACTCTATATTAAACTATAATCCCAACATTGCATGTCCTGCAATGTGACTTTTGCGTATGCACACATTGTGATATTGATGCTGAAATGATGTATTGTGCAGCCCTAACTTGAATATCGGTTAGTTGTCTTTACTTCTTTTTTGTCCTTGGCCAAAAACTTGCTCTCACATTTTTAGCGCTGTTTAAGCATTATCAAAATAAATTTTCCATAGATATAAAAACAAATTTAAACAAAATAGATTGTTGCATGTTCTGATATGCTGTAATGAATTTGAACGGCATTGTTTTTCTTATCATTTACGACATTACAGGAAACATTACATCATGAAAATGTACTTGAAAGTTTTGAAAAAGTCTTGGAATTTTAGTTGTGAAAATGTGTATGAACCCTGTATACCATCATAGTGCTCTCTGTCCTAGTATACTATATTTATCTCCTCCTTTAGTCTTTTTGTCTATCCCCTTACGTCTGTAACCCACTGTGTATTGGTGTAAAGCACTAGCAGATGGCTTCTGGGGACTAGAATGGTGTCTCTGTACGATAGTAACAGTATCACTCTCGATTAGTGTTGAAATGATCCATTCCCTGCGACCAGACATAAATCAGAACCTATTAAGCGATCTCCTTCCTCCTCCCTCCCTTTATGATTCACACATGAACAAACACATTTTGCTCATATTAGACCTGCTTACAGACTTCTATTGACATTGATGAAAGCGACAATTATGGAAAGAAAGAGCAGCTCTGCTTTGAGTGAAAAAGAGTTGCTCACCAGCTTTTGGAGGAAGATAGATGGATAGATGGATAGATAGATAGATGGTTAGGTAGATGGGTGGGTAGATGGGTAGATAGATAGATAGATAGATAGATAGATAGATAGATAGATAGATAGATAGATAGATAGATAGATAGATAGATAGATAGATAGATAGATAGATAGATAGATAGATAGATTAAACAGTAGATAGATAGATAGATAGATAGATAGATAGATAGATAGATAGATAGATAGATAGATAGATAGATAGATAGATAGATAGATAGATAGATAGATAGATAGATAGATAGATTAAACAGTAGATAGATAGATAGATAGATTAAACAATAGATAGATAGATAGATAGATAGATAGATAGATAGATAGATAGATAGATAGATAGATAGATAGATAGATAGATAGATAGATAGATAGATAGATAGATAGATTAAACAATAGATAGATAGATAGATAGATAGATAGATAGATAGATAGATAGATAGATAGATTAAACAGTAGATAGATAGATAGATAGATAGATAGATAGATAGATAGATAGATAGATAGATAGATAGATAGATAGATAGATAGATAGATAGATAGATAGATAGATAGATAGATTAAACAATAGATAGATAGATAGATAGATAGATAGATAGATAGATAGATAGATAGATAGATAGATAGATAGATAGATAGATAGATAGATAGATAGATAGATAGATAGATAGATAGATAGATAGATAGATAGATAGATAGATAGATAGATAGATAGATAGATAGATTAAACAATAGATAGATAGATAGATAGATAGATAGATAGATAGATAGATTAAACAGTAGATAGATAGATAGATAGATAGATAGATAGATTAAGCGATAGATAGATAGATAGATAGATAGATAGATAGATAGATAGATAGATAGATAGATAGATAGATAGATAGATAGATAGATTAAACGATAGATAGATAGATAGATAGATTAAACGATAGATAGATAGATAGATAGAT